ATCACCTCAAGGCCTTCACAGCTGTCTGGGCCTTTTATCTTGTTTTAATGTGTGAGGAAATACCTTTTTTATTATTGTTATACATCTGTGTCTCCAATAACAAGCTTTTTAAGATGTTTTCTAACATAATTTCTCCCCTAAACAGTTAACTAAATGCCATCCTGTTAGGTTTTATTCACTCTCTGGTCAGAACATAAGAAATGCTCAAACATTACCAGAGAAAGCTCTGCTGTTTTTTATGTTTGAACCAAAGTTTCTGTTTTAAGATAAATACAATAAATCAAACACCAAAGGGCTTTTTGTTAAGTGTCCAGATTCTACAGTATTTCTAAGGGAAGACTTTTTTGTTTAATATCAGGTTTTTGTTCATTTTATAATAAGCGTGTCCAAACTCATACATCTGATGTTATTTTTTAATCATTTGAGGTTTGAGAGGGAAGCTTTGGTTTAAAGGAGGGCAGGATGTTTAACAGTAGGGGGAAGAGACGGATGCTGAGCTTGTTCCTAAACTGAACCTGTTGAAGAATGTTTTTAGTTATTTTGCTCTGTCCTGACCTCCTCCTGTCTGATCCTCCTTTGATCTTCTCAATCTCTGACCACAACTCTCTGATATCATTCTGCAGGAGATTGCTCTACATCAGAGGTCACAGATTAGCGGACCATGGTCCGGATCCGGACCCACCTGCTGGCTAATCCAGACCCAACCTGATTTAAAACATTTACAAATTACTGCATGTTGTCCGACGACAGTTTCTAACTTCACTTCCACAGCTTCTCCTGTTAATACACTAAAGCCCTCTGGAACGCCCAGGACAAGGCTAGATGTGATCCAAATCATCCAATGAGCTGCTGTCAGTCTGGGTTGCTGCTGCTGCTACTTTTAGACTCAGCAGGCAAACCTGTGGCAAGCCGGGCGATGGGAAAGAAGGAGAAGATGATGAGAAAAAGAGAGCAGAGAAAGTGTGGACTGCTGGAAGAACTGCTCAAAGATGACCATGCACAGTTTGAGGACGTTTGGCTCAACCTGCTGCTGTGAAGCAGGATTCTCCACCATGAACAGAATCAAAAATAAATCTGGATCCATTCAAACCCAGGTTTAAAGCCTTGCAGGGCCTAAAGCCCACTGCTCTCATTAAGACAGAAAAAAACAAACAAAAAAAGGGTCAGTTCAGATGTTTTATAAAATATTTGAATCAGGAAATTGTCCATAAACCAAACTGAGCGATTGTTGTTCTCTATTTGAAAAAAACACTTTACATTTTAAAATTGAAAATTGGTTAAATTCGGTTTAAAGTAACAGAATGTCTCTGGACCTTTACTGGTTGATGATTTTCTTTATACTGACAAGCTAATTTTTACCCCTGCTCTACCATCTTCTTGTATATTTACCTCCTTGCTTTCTCTTGACTTTAAACTGAGAGTTTTTCTTAATAATTCTCTTTCTCCATC